CAGTAGTCACTGGTGTAGATATTGTAATGAACCATCACTTGCAGGAAACCAGCTTCACAAAAGAGGCCTACAAGAAATACATCAAAGATTATATGAAATCAATCAAAAGCAAACTTAAAGAACAAAGACCAGAAAGAGTAAAACCGTTTATGACAGGGGCTGCAGAACAAATCAAGCACATCCTTGCTAATTTCAAAAACTATCAGTTCTTTACTGGTGCAAACATGAATCCAGATGGCATGGTTGCTCTCCTGGACCGCCGTAAGGATGGTGTGACCCCTTTTATGATTTTCTTTAAGGATGGTTTAGGAATGGAAAAATGTTAATGGATTTGATGGTAACCTTGGATCTATCACTTGTCATAACTGACTGCTGCTTATCATCTACACAACACCAGGATTTTAGACAAATGGGACTGATGTCATCTTGAATGCTTCATTTATTTTGACCATGATTTATTTGGAATGGAGGCATTGTTTTTTAGGGAAAAAACACGTCATGTAGGTTGTTTAAAATAAAGTGCATTTAAACTCAAAAAAAAAAAAAAAGACTCTGGTGGCTGTTTGAGATGGACTGAACGTATATTGACTAATGAGATGGACACCAGCTTTTTGGAATCCAAGGGCAAAATGTTATGTTTATAATCAAAATGTTCCCCCAAATTTCACCTATGCAGCCATTGGCTTTTGGAAAGTGATTGGACCTTGGACCTTGGGAGCACTATCTCATCAGTAGACTCATCTACTGATGAATTGATAACTCAATGCGGTGTTAGGAGCAGAGTCTAGTTGGAAGAGGTATGTCACTGGGTAGTGTTTTGGTGGTCTATCTCTGTCCCCACTCCCCTTCCTTCTCTGTTTCCTAGCTCCCATGAGCTGAGTAGCTTTCCTTCATGCCCTTCCACCATAATGTTTTTTATCTTTGATCCAGCTGATCACTAGACTAAATTTCCTGAATGATAAGCCAAAGCGTACCTCTTTCCTTTAAATTGTGGATGTTGGGCTGGGGAGATAGCTCAGCAGCTTAAGTGCCTGCTTGGCAATTCAAGGTCCCAAGTTCAATCCCTGGTACCTAAATAAACAAACAAACAAACAAACAAACAAACTGTATATGTTAAGTTTATGTCCTAGTGATAAGAATGCTAAGTCAGGGACATTGTTTAGTGCGAAGGCTCTGGGTTTAATCCTCCGTATTACAAATACATAACTACATATGTACATATATGCATACTATACATACATACTTCCTGTCAGCAAAAATACCAATTATTTTATAACAATGGATGTGAGAATCCTTAGAAAAGTATCTGAAAGAATTCACAAGAATTCGTCAAAGGAAACTTAAGCCTTAGCTTTAATGGCTTTAAGAAAGAGTAACCATATACATTATTATTATACTTTTAAAAATGGATAAGGAGGGCCGGCAAGACAGCTAAGTGGTCTAAAGCAATTGCTTAGGCAAACTTAGGCAGATGCAGGAGGCCACAGTTTGATTCCTGGCATCACATGCTGTGCTAGCTCCACCCTCAGGATGAGCTGAGCTGGCTAAAAAAAAAAAAAAAAGAATAAGAAAAGAGGGAAAAAAACCAAAATAAAATTATGGAAAGCGAGATGACAGTGAATAGGGACAATAGGAGGGATGAGTTTCATCAGCATTTTCTTCCCACTTTTTCAAATGTTTGACAGCTGCTTTGGATTTGCACACATTCTCTGAGTGAGGGCTTAACTGAGCAGGCACTGTCACAAAGTAACTAGGAACAGTATATAACTAGCAAGTCCCAGGGGAGACCAAAGCTAGAGATCAGGTTGCCAAACACTTTAGATCTGATCAAACACTTCAGGAAAGGTCTAAGAAGGTTGCCAACAGACAAAATTCAAAAGGAAATGTGCTAATTTCCTTGTTCCATGGATAACTTCTTCAGTGGTCATTTGAATCACTGGTGTAAGTTTGTGTTTACTATGGTATGAATATGTCTCCCAAAGTTCATGTGTTGGAAACTTAACCCCCATTATGATAGTGTTGAAAGGCAGAAACTTTAGAAGGGGTTTGGGTCCTTATGGGATTGATGAAACTGAGGCTATCCCAGGAGTGAGTTAGTAGTCACGGGAAGTGAGTCCCTAGCACAAGGATACGTTTGGCAGGCTTCCCCTCTCTTCTCTGTCTCCCCCATCCTTATTTGCATGCAACTCTATTCCCTTCTGTCTTCTGCCATGGGATGATGTGGCAAGTAGGCCCTCAACTGAGACTAAACTTTTTTTTTAACCTTTTATTTATTTGGTACAGGGTCTCCATCCACAGCTCAGACTCGTAGTTATCCTCCTGTCTCAGCCTCTCCAGCACTGGAATTATGGTCATGTGCCACCACGCCCTGTTTTGGTGGCTGGCATAGCATGGGGTGGCATGGCATGCAGTACCAGGAATTGAACCCGGGTCCTTGAGCCTGCCAGGCAGGCATTTAGACCACCAAGCTATCTTCCTGGCTGAGAGTGAAATTGTGATAATGGATTTGACCCACTCCAGAAGTGTCAGAAATAAATCTTTATTCTTTGTGAATTACCAATTCTCAGTTGTTCTATAACAGCAGCACAAACGGACTAAGACAACACTTTAGTCTGTTCAAGATACAGCAACAAAATCACATTCCACGCAACACTAAGACATGAACACGGTTCACCCACATTCATTACCTCTTAGAAGGATTGCCTTTCTGTTGGGAGCCTCGGAAGCTGGAAAATAGATCAAAAGTGTGTAGGTGAGACTAGGCCTCAGTACCTAGAACAAACAGGCTACCTCAGTTCTGAGATAAACATCCTGTCTGGTAAAGGTGGGCTATTAGTTGCTAGGCAACCTTGTGTCACATGCTACTAACTTGGCAAAAGCATAAATAAATGTAGGTTTTGCTATGGTTTTGCGGTAGTCTTGCCTATAGGCCGACCCGGGACCACTTAGCCCAGCTTTTGTCTTCTTTTCCATCTTTTCTCATTCCTCCTGGTGAGTAGAACCGATCTGACTGAGACCAATGGATCCCTACACCTTTCCTCCAGTTTCCAGTCATAAGTTCCTCACTTCCACCTGAACTTTTGCCAGAATAGCCTTAAAGTCCACGCTTCTGCCCACATCTTTTCACAAACATGGAGGCATTTTCTACGATTGAGATGTCCCTACAGCTTCTTTTCTTTCCTTCTGAGTCCTCACCAGAAGCATCCTTTACAGTCAGGTAACTGACGGCAACACACTCGAAAACATCTAGCCTCTACCATCACCTAGCTTCAAAAGTACTTCCTAGTTGTTAGGATTCATTACAGGAACAGGCCACAAAGTTTGCCAGCATAGTCAGGTTTCAGAGAGGCCCCTTTCTGGGTTTAGGCTAGCAGATTTTGCTGTGTCTTCACATAGCGGACAGAGCAGCCAAGTCCCCCTGGGCCTCATTTATCAAGACACCAATCCCATTCATGAAGCCTCTCTCCTCATCTTTTTCTTCATTTGTGTACTTGGTACAGGATCTCACTACGCAGATTGGACTCGTGATGGTTCTCCTATTTTCAGCCACCCCAGTGCTGGGATTACAGGCAAGCACCACACACCTAGACTCAGTGGCAGGCTCAGCACTCCCTGGGGTGGAGCCGGTGCTGCATGCAGGACTGGGGATCGAACCCTGGTCTCTGTGCTTGCCAAAGCAGGCGCTTTGTCTGCTGAGCTATCTCACCCATGCTCTCTCTCCTCATCATCCAAGCATCTCCTCAAAACTCCATCTCTTAATGCCATCATCTAGGGTTAGAACTTCCACTTAGGAATGGAGGCAGAGAAGCAAACACTCAGATCTTAGCAGTTAGCTCGGCTTTAGATTAAGATTTTGCTTCATGTTGATGGAACGTGTGAAGTTCTGATTCTAAGCCCACTTAATGTGGATCTACCAGAAATGCTTGAAAAACATTTTTAATGAGAAAAGACTTCACAGCCTCCTTTATTTGGCTACTGTTACCAAAATGAGGGAATATATAACTGTGTCCTATTACATGAGCCACTTCTTCCTTCATGTAGTTTGTTAATATAGTGCTTAAAAAAGATTGCAGACTTGATTTCTATTGCAGCTTACATACTTAGCAAGGATATGACCTTGGCCAAATTGTTTAACCTTTGTCTACCTTTGCTATCTCCTCTGTAAAATGAGGATAGTAGTACCGAGCATGATTACAGGACCAGATGAACTAATAGAAGATGGGTATAATAATGCCTTGCACATAGTAAGCTGTATATCAACATCAGTGTGACTGTCATTATTGTTTTTGTTTTGAGTTTTTGTTTTTGTTTTTTTATTGGAGCGGAGTTATAGGAGATTGAACCCAGGGCCTTGCACTAAGCTATAGTTCCAGCTCTTTTTATTTTGAGACAGGGTCTTGCTAAGTTATTAAGTTGTCCAAGATGTGATCAAACTTAAGATCTTCCTTCCTAAGCCACGCAGAATATTGAGAGTATAACGAAGTGCTACCATTCCCCCAGTTACTTTTCACTTGATCTTAGCCAAAAGGCAGAGAAGCAATCCTCGCAGTTATTTTTAATAAGTCAGCCACTTTTAAGTTACATATTGAGGTAGATTTTACAAGACCATTGTACCATTAGGTAAGCTTGGTTCACGTCTACCCCAAAATGTAAACAACATGTTTAGAATATTAAGTGTTGACAGACTATTATTCAGGTTCTAAGGTTAAAGGTGATCAAGAACATCTTACACAACATTGCAGCTTTACAAGTATGCCCAAGTGCGTTAGATGTGTTAGATGTGTGTTGCTATTCTTGGCCATGTGATACAAATCAGTTAAAAAAACAAGACATCATACCTTGAGATTTCAACAGAATTGGCTCAATCCCTAGTTTACATGCAGTAGAAATAGAACATAACTCTTATTGCTCTGGAAACTCTACGAGTATAATTTATGCTTTTTAGGTTACTTCTGGCTCCAAGCTTCTGTTCCTGCTGAATCATTTCATCTGGATCACTTTGTGGCCTTGCACACAAGCCCTATCTACAACACAACAGAATGTAGTTTAAAAGGGAATAAGCCCTTCCCTTGACATGCCTCGCAAAACAGCACAGGCATAAGGCTTTTGTGAAAGTAGTGGAATCTTACAAAATTTACAAGCAAGGAAAGGACATTATGTTACATAATTACAGAGCAAAGAGACATAAAGCATAAATGTGTTAGCTATTAACTTTAAAAAAAATCGTCCAAACTCATTCATAACTGCAATAGACACAGAAGTTCTGGCCAATTTAAGCAGAAAAGGAACTTACTACTCAAATTAGTAGATAGCTAGCTCACAAGGTGTCAAAAAGGAGTAAAAACCTAGGCTGGTAGTATACGTCTCCCATAAACACATGAAATCATACTGGAGAATTGGCCTAGGGGAGAAGTCTCAACCATCACCTCTGGGCACTGAGCTGCATCAGTTTCCACAAATGATAGTTCAAGATGTCATAACTATTGCTTTTGCTATGACCACCATTCTCCAGAATATAGTCTCTGCTTTAAGATGTCACTGGTGGGCTGGGGAAATAGCTTGACAGTCTAAGTACCTGCCTGGTAAGCGTAAGGTCCTGGGTTCTATCCCCAATACAACATGCCATGCCAGCCACACACGGTGTCAGCCACTGAAACCGGGCATGGGGGCGCATGCCTTGTAATCCCAGTGCTGGGAGGGCTGAGACAGGAGGATCACTATGAATCTGAGCTGAGTGTTGAAACCCTATACCAAATAGTAAATAAATAAAAAGTCTAAAAAAAATGAAAAAGATGTCATTGGTCCTCTGTTCAAGATTTAGTGTAAATGAATTTCATTGGTCTTGTGTAAGTCACATGCCCAGTATCTAGCTTCAAGAGAGACTAGCACAGTATTCTCTACTTGTGAGATTATTAAATACAAGAAGGCAAACTGTGTATGACACATTTTCTCTATTATAATCTTTTTTGAACTTTACAAGCTTGTGAGCCATTTGGAAATCTTACTAAAATTCAGATTCTGATTCAATAGGTCCAGGGCAAGGACTGAGCTTCTAACATTCTCAGGTGATGTAAGCTGCTGGTTTGAAGATCACATTGAGAAACAAGGATCTATATCACCAATTTTCCAACTTGTCTGCATACTACAGTAAGGAGAGTCATTTTTAAAAAATATTGACGTCTGAGTCTCACCTTCAGCTAGTTTACTTGGTCTAGAGTGAGATATGGACTCATGAGCTTTTAAGTTGTGCCCAAATGATTCAAAGGTACTAGAATAGGTCCTTCACTAGACTTCAATTTTTCTGCCATTTTATAAGGGTTTTTTTATTTTCACCAGATTCCAAGATTTCCACTTTCTGTGCCATGCTTGGTTTTTCCCTATAGCAAAATTCAATCACTCTCACTTACTATGCAGAAAAACTTGACATTCAACCTTGTCCTAAGGGGCTGGGGAGATAGCTCAGTAGAATAAGCGCTTGCCTGGCAAGCACATCAACCTTGTCCTAGAAGGCCTAACTTTGCATATCTAAAGACTAGTTCAAGAGTTCTGCTGGTTTTCTAAAAGTATGCTACCTGTCACCCTGGGAGAGTGTGATTTAAAATGATGTATGCACAATTTTTTTAAAATTTAGGGCTGAGAAGATAGCTCAGTGGCTTAAGCACCTGCTTGGCAAGCACAAGGTCCTGAGTTTGATCCTCAGCACAAAAAATAAATAAATAGTCAATAGTTCCATGTTTATTTTAATGCATATCACTGAAAATTGTAGCTAACAAGTATTATTGCTTATGACAACAAATTAATTTTTAGATGGGTAAATATAATGGAGATTCAGGACAGATACAACAAAATCATGAAAATGGCCTGCAAATGAATGAAGTTCCAAAGAATTTTCATCTAGGAAGTATCAATTTCGTAAGGGTTCAAAATAACATCACCAGAATTTGAAATATTCATGATTCAAAGAAAAATAACTATAAGAATAATTTTTAGAATATGAAATAAGAAATATAGGATAAGTCCTTTAGCCAGCTAATCTGGTTTTTTTTGTTGTTGTTGTTGTTTTTGTGGAACCGGGAATTGAACTCAGGCCCTTCACTTCCCGGGCAAGAGCTTATTCTACTAAACTATCTTCCTGGCCCCACCAGCTAATATTTGACCAAAAAAATTGATGACATGTTTTAGATTTTTTGAAAGTTAATACACAAATACAGAGAACTCTAAAACCCTTGATGAGAGATTTTTAAAACTCAAGTAGTCACAACAGTGTGAAACTTCAACAAATCTAAGAATATCTTAACCAGCAATTAGACCAATAGCAAATTTCTCAGTAGCAACAAAATAATAGAATAATATGAGGAGAAATCTTATAAACCTATAATTTTATGCGCAGTAGAATTATCTAAAATAAACAAAGACAAATTTTCAAAATTCAGGTTATAGAGCTTACCACACCACGTTGTCATTTAAGGAAATTCTAAAATAATTCACTACAGGTTCAAGGAAAATAACACAGAAGAAAGATTTAAGAAATGAAAAAAGGGGGCCTGGCCCTAGCTCAGCTCTTTAAGTGGCTGCTTCCACAAAGCTGTCAGCCTCAGGTTGCTGGTGTTCCATCCCCACAACACTCCAGGCAGCCAAACCTGCCCTGAAGGCATTCGGAGAAAAAAAAAAAAAAAGAAATGAGAAAAGGGGGCCTGCCCCTTAGCTCAGTTCTTTAAGTGGCTGCTTCAACAAAGCAGTCAGGCTCAGGTTGCTGTGGTACGATCCCCACAACTCAAGCCAGCCAAACCTGCCCTGAAGACATTCGGAGCCACCCCCCCCCAAAAAAAAAAAAAAAAAAAAAAAGAAAGAAATGAAAAAAAATAAGCAAAATGTTGTTACATATATAGATGAGTCTAAAACAATACGATACCTAAACATGATGGGAGGTTAAGATGTCCTAATATCTTTACATATTTCAAGAGAGAAGTATTAGCTTTTTATTTTAAATTTACATATACAAAATAGTAAAATAATTACTGAAAATATACAACGTATTATTCCAAGTAAGTTTCAAAGAAAAAATGGTGTTAGAAAACACAACCCTTCAGCTGGGGAGATAGCTCAGTGGTCAAAGCACATACCTGACAATCACAAGGACACGGGGTCTCAACTTTGGTGCTGCATGCTGTCGGCCTCACGCTGAGGCAGCCACCGAAACCAGGCATGGTGGTGCACCCCTGTAATCCCAGCACTGGGAAGGCTGAGACAGGAGGATCACTATGAGTCTGAGTTGCGCAGCAAGACCCCATACCAAATCAATAAAAAGATTTTTTTTTAAAAGATTAAATTCTTTTTTAAAAAAGGAAAACAACCCAAAAGAAGCTTCATTTTAAATTTTTGACATTTTTAACTTTTGTTTCATGCCATTCTCAATTTAAATAGTCTTTTATAATTTTTGTGAACTTATTTTCGAAGATTTGGGATTTTCAAAAAGTTTTTATTTATTTATTTGTTACAGGGTCTCGCTATGCAGCTTGGACTCATAGTGATCTTCCTGTCTCAGCCTCCCCAGTGTGCTGGGATTACAGACATGTGCCAGCATGGTTTTGGTGGCCTGTATGGCATGCAGCACTGGGGATTGAACCCAGGTCCTTTCACTTGCCAGGCAGGCACTTAGACCACCAAACTATCTCACCAGGCCATTAAAGGTGCTCTGTTTGTATTTTATTTTAATGAGAACTTTTATTTTATTTTGTTTTGTTTTATTTTATTTTTGTATTTATTACAGGATCTACAGAGTCTACAGGATCTCACGCCACAGATTAGAATCCTAGTGATCCTGTTTTCAGTCTCCAAAGTGTTGAGATTACAGGCACCCGCCACCGTGCCCAGTCTCATTTGCTGTTTTAGCACGCCCTGGCAGTAGGGCCAGCACGACACACTGGGGATGGAACCCTGGTCTCTATGTCTGCCTAAGCAGACTCTTTAATCCACTGAGCTATCTGGCAGGCCCCAAAAACTCCTTTAACCCCAGGCCAAAGATGCACATCTCTCCAAGGTGGTTTTATCTTTACTTCTGCCAGGTATTCAAGTGTACCATGTCAGGATTTTTTTTTTTTTTTTAAAGTAGCTGGGGCAGTGGGGTGGAAGATCGGATTTCTTCACCTTGAGATCTCAGTAACATATAAGTGTTACAAATATAAATGCCAAACTCTTATGAAACACAGTCTTGGCATTTCAAAAATTAGTGAGTTAAATGATTTTCTTCTTCTCATCTGGGTGTTTTCCATTTTTCTAGATTCACTCTTTCACTTAGGTTGATGCCTTACAGAGACATTTGAAGGGAACTCATTCTAGGTCCCATTCTGCTCACTCCAAGCTTTTACCTCCTGCCCCTGTGTATCTAGGCCTAGAGTTACAGAGATTAACGCCACCTTGCCCACTCTGAGGATTACTAATTATCATGGTGTGTGATGTAGACATTTTTCAGTGGTAAATCAGATCAGTGACTATATTCTAGTTTTCCATTTACGCTCATTTTGGCACCCTAAAATTTCCTTTTATTTTTTAAGCAGTTACTTACAATACCATGTTAAAAAATAAGGTAATTGTTTTGTCCCAGCATTACAAAATGTTGCTATAAAGTTTCCACATTATAGAAGTTTACCATTTCATGAGTTCACAAAGATCATTTTAAGACTTCTGTCAGTACAAAAGGGAAATCTGAGAATATACAGGCAGTTACCCCTGTGGTTACACGGTGTTTTCCCAAAGGAATGGGCTCCATCAGCTGGCCCACAGCTTGCCCTTATTTGTTTGACCTTAAGAATGTTCCAGAATTCTCCAGACAGGCCTAGCTTCTTCCTGTAATGTTTGGAGAAAAACTCTCCCACTAAATTTAAACTCCCTGAAGGAAAAATATGCTCTCTTATGTGTTCACTGGTGGATGTGCCCTATCTAGCAATGGTAGGCGCTCAATAACTTTCTTTTAAAAAAAACGGTCCTAAAAGCCGAATGGGTGACTCCCCTAACATCTCTTTCAATCCCTCCTCATCTACCTCAAAATGTGACAGAAAACTACAAGTGGCCGGCCTGTTGCTCTCACTTCTGTTTTTTCCACAGATTTGGTCCTATGTTTTGTTTCTGTAAGCGTTGCAAAGAATTTTTGCTGAGTTACGGAGCTAAACACAACTGCGCACGCCCAGCGCCTTCAAGACGCCATCTTGAACCTAGAGCTCAGACAAATATTTATTTTTAACTTTAACATATATTCATATATGCATAATGAGTTCAACGGCATATTTGAGAAGATGCATGTCATTGGTCGGTCTGTCCGATGACCACACCTCCGAAGACGCCACGCAGCAGGACGCTCAGACCTCTGCGCAGGCCCCTGTGCGTGGCGTCGTGCCGCCCCCACAGCGTGCCTGGCCCCCTCCCGCAGCAGGGCGAGTGGCGCCGTCACCCATTGGCTGAGGCAGTGCACATGCGCCCTAGAATCCCGCGCTGGAGTCACCCCCTCCACACACAAGTGCAGTCCACACCCAGTGCTTCTGAGCCCCTCGGCCCGGCTGCCTCTGTCTGAGCTCCTCCACCTCGCTGCGGCCTTCCGTTTCCTCACGCCACAGGCCCTCAAAGGCCGGCTGGAGCGCAGGCTCTTCTTCTCTTCGAGCTGCCTTAGCGGGAACGGCAGGTGCTGCCATCATGGTGAGTGGAGGAAGAGGTTGAAGCGGCCCGAGGCCAGCTAGGTCTTCGAGGGGTCGTGAAATTTTGCGTGTGGGCTGTCGGGGTGGGGGGCAGGGGAAAGGGGAGTCACCCCACGTTTCACGTTCCAGGACGCCTTCCTATGGGACGCCTTCCTATAGGCCGCCAGGGCGGCCTGCAGCAGCCTCGTGGCCTTTGAGGCACCTGGGCCGGTGGGGGCCGGCGGGAGCCGGCGGGAGGCCTGAGCAGTGGCGCCTTTGTCGGCTTCACGAGGCCCCACAGTGCAGAGTAGGCCCCGGTTCACTGGGACTGAAGTTTGGAGTGTAGTTTTCCCCACCCTGCTGGCTCTCCCCTTACCCCACTGGGCATGGCAGTGGTGGCAGAGGTGGCGGTGGCTTCCACAAGGTGGCATCAAGCCTAAGGTGCAGGAGAACTGGTGGCCTTGGGGGAGGGGCGCCTCAGACATGGCGGTGCGGCCCGCTGAGAAGCCGCCCGCTAGGGGTCTGGCTCCGCCTAGCTGAGGGGCCATGGGGTGGCCCTCCCGCCTCCACAGGGGCAGGCGGGGCCCAGCCCTGCGGAAAGCGGTGTCTTCCTGGGACCACGGCGGATAGCAGGTCTTTCCCGTTGCCAGCATTGCTGTGTCCTGAGAGTAGACTTTAACGTAGGGAACGCTTTTTTTCACGTGGAGAAACCAGAGATTTTTTTTCATAAACTGTGCATTTCCATTCTTTCTTTTTTTATTTTAAACTGCATTTGCTAGATGCTGCTTTGGGTGTACTTTGGGGAGCTTTCATAAATACAAAGTTGGTTCACTACCACCGCAGGATATCATCCCGTGAACACATTAGCCAGCCACTGTCACATGTGTTTGCACTATGTACTACACGTAAACGTAAAAGAATAATGGCTTTATCATAGAAATGAGAAGAGGAAATTTATCCACACTTAATTATTTCACAAGTGCTAAAATGTAGATTTTAACAAATTACTGTTTGTAATAATTTTTCCATGTTGTTTAATAACCACTGTAAATTATAAGTAGTAATTATTGGAATTTTTGTCCATTATTAGGTGTAAAGTGATAAAATGTCAATTTTTTTCTACTCATTTGAAAATAATATTGTAAAAAGATAATATTAAACCCAGTGTGGTGGTGCATTCCTGTAATCCCAGCACCTGGGAGGTTGAGACAACTCTTCCTGAGCTCAAGGCCAGCCTGAGCTGCTTAGCAAGATCCTGCCTTAAAAAGACCCCCTCAAAAAAAGAAAGAAAAAAGTATTAATTGTAAAACATGTGATGACTGTTGCTTTTGAAGGATATATTTTCAGATTATTTGTATGCTTCTATTGCATAGAAATAGGTAAATTTTATAATAGCTGTGTCATAGAATATTTTATAATCTGCATCTTCCAGTATATTAACTTTGAAATATTCCCAAATAAAATTTAAAGTAATTTTTAGCATATAATGTAGGGGTTATACTGTTATATATTTCAGTGAATTTCTTTATGAGGAATTATTTTTCTTTTTTCTATTTGTATATTTGAATTTTTTATCTCTGCAAATAGGGTATACCATCTCTGTTAGGATGTAGTTAGATGATGTTTGCTTTGTAAAATGACACAGTACTAAGACTTTAAAGAAAAGTGCAGTATTTGAATTTGCCTTTCTCTTCGTTTCTTCTTTGTGTCTTTTTTTGTCTTTTTGAGAAAAGGTCTCGATACGCAGTTTAGGCTGGCCTTGAGCTCATTTTGTAGCCCAGACTAGTCTTGAACTCACAACAATCCTCCTGCCTCAGCCTCCAGAGCACTAGAATTACAGGCATGCACCACCATGTCCGGCTTGCCTTTCTCTTCTTTTGCTTCTTCTACCATTGTTTCTGATGTCTTGGGTGGTCCCATTACCACTGATGGAGACATCATTGAGTATTTTTTCTATTAAGATGGTTTGTAAAAGATTTACATTTATCTAGAAAGTGAGCTATTTTATTTGAGATTTCCACACTTATTCGCATAATTTAGATGTTTTTATAATCTGTAGTCCTATCCTTTTTCACATCTCATAATTTTGCTTAGCTTTGCGTTGTTAGTTTTGGGCACTTATAACTCAAATTCACTCTTGAATTTAGTTTTTATTGTAATTTTCATTTTCTCTTCTTTCAGTTTTACTCTTTATTCCTTCCTATTCCTGTGGATATAATTTAGATGACCACAAATTGTACTTTTTCCTGGTCAGCACATTTGATCTCAATTTACTTACCATGTTGACATAGTTATTGAATTAAATGATATTCCAAGAACTTCAATGATAATTTTTTTTCTTTTTTTTTTTTTCTTTTCTTGGCGGAACCAGGGATTGAACTCAGGCCCTTGTGCTTGCCAGGGAAGCACTTATTCCACTGAGCCATCTCCCTGGCCCCTTTAATGATCATTTTCTTCAAATTTTAGTTATCATTGGAACACAATATAGTACTTTGTTAGCTTTGAGCGCCATCTGCTGGCTGAGGAAGGACAAGCATGTAGGGTACCTTCCTTAATTTAAAACTACACTGTTAAAGCAATTATTAATTCAATTTTATATCCTAGTTAAACAAAGAACCAGTTAATAAGACCTAAGCTGGGCTGAGGCTGTATTCCTTTTTCTTTGTACCAAATTACCGTTACCTCAGACATCCATTTTGTTTTTGTAAATAATAGAATAGAAGAATTAGAAGACATCAGAGATCTTTGCTAGCCATTCGTTTTTCAAGCAAGGAAACTGAGGTCCTGAAAAGACTTGACTTTACTGAACAATGAAAAGCAAGGTGCTCCCAAGCAATAATTTTCCTCTTCAATTCTGTTAGCACTATAACAGGATTTCTCAGCCACATCTCTATTCAAATTTTGGGCCAGGCAGTTCTTTGTTTTGGGGGTTGTCCTTTATGTTGTGTCACGTTTATTAGTATAGTGCCCTTTTACTCACGAGATGTGGGGAGTATACCTCAGAGTGACACCCAGAAATGTCTCCAGACATTGTCAAATGTCTTCCCTGTTCGAGAATCAATACACGCTCAAACCCTTTCTAACCTGGCACAATTTTTGACCAGATGTTACATCTCTAAAATGTATCCATCCATTTGTGCTGTAGAAACAGATAATACTGAAAATAGTTTATCAAATAAAAATGAATACAGAGTTCATCCACAAATAAAAAAGGGGATTAAGGAGAAAAGAAAATCTAGAATTATAACTACTGTTGTATGTTTTGGATTTTTAATGAACTAATTGAGAAGGGATTGATAGGTTGTCTATATTAAGGGTAATCTTGGACTATTCTCAATAGTCCACAATATGTAGCTTGTGTAATAAATTTTTATTTGGAAAAAAATATAAGACATTGAAAGGAAAAACTAAACCAGGTATGGCACACATACCTAAACCCCTAGCCACTGGGAAGGCTGAGGCAGGATAATTGCAAGTTCAAGGGCACTGTAGATGACTTACTGTGACTGTCTCAAAAATTTGCAAAGGGGCTGGAGATGTTGCTCAGTGGTAGAGCACTTGCTATAGTATTCTTGAACTCTTGGATTCAGGTCCCAGGACCCAAAAGAATGAAAATCCTGAGAATTGTGTTACTCTGCCACTTTATTGTCATGAAATGTCACTGTCATAATTAAACACAAATTAGCTTACATTGAAAACCAAAACTCAACTGTAGACAACTTTAACTTCTAAAATGTCTGTAGAAATTACTCTGCTAACCTTTTAAAATGTGTTTATCAGTTGCTTTCTTTAATCCTTGCTTTTCTTTCATAAGTACGTATATCATACCTTTTTGCTATAGCCTTTAGTATTTACCTTCTATAATTAGTTTATTCCATAAATGCAAGTTCCATAAAATAATACTTATCAGTTTACTTCATAACTGAATTCCAAATGTGGCTGTGTCAGAAAAGTTTTCTAAAGTTCCAATTAGTTGTTAGTTAATAAAGTACCTATAAAATAAATCAGCTAAAGTAGTAAAACTTCAGAGGCAAATTTTCGAAATAATATTTTGAAAATCACTTTAAATGATAGATACTAACTTACATTGGCATAACACCTCATACTTTATGAAATGTATTTACAGATGTTACTTCATTTCATTCTCAAAGTAATTTGCTTAGAGATACATAGCTGGCAAGTAGCTTATGAACTAGTAAGGGTTAGGAATCTAGATCTGCTTAGTAAAGGAGTTGTTTCACTGTTCCATGTTGCCTCTCCAACATGCATATATCTCCACACCCACACAGGAAATCTTCCTTTAGAAAATTTCACATTAAACTTGGACTCTACTGTAGGAAGTCTCAAGAGGTCTGATCAGAGTTCCAAAAAAGTAATATGCATGGCTTTCTATGTGTAAAAATAAAAGTGCTACCATTTATATCTATGAGCCCGGTGAAATTTTGAACTAACTGATTTTTGAGCACTATAGCATTAGAGAGGATTGTCACCCTACTTTTGTACTTAGCAAAATTAAAGTTTTATCAGTACAGAGAATAAAATTTTTTTAGAGCAGAATAACATAGTTTTTACAAATCTACTTTTAGATAGAGCTGTGGGTATGTGAGCAGATAATGTTTGCACACTCCATTTCTAAAGTGAACATCTTTTTTTTTCTTTTTTTTTTTTTTGGTTGTACTAGGGATCGAACTCAGGACCTTGCACTTGCCAGGCACGCGCTTATGCTACTGAGCTATATCCCCAGCCCCTCCATTTCTAAAGTAAAGCAAGCAAAGAATGTTAAAGTTACAAATTTTAATTTTGGTGATCAGAAAAGCTAAGCAAAAAAAATTGTTTAAAATTTTGATGTGTGTTTGTTTGCTTGCTTGCTTGCTTTTTGGTAGTGGTACTGAGATTCACACTGAACTGCATCCATGGCCCTGTAACAAAATTTTGGTTGTCTTGCGACTCTCTTTTTCAGCCCCGAGTGAGTATTCAGATCACAGGCGTGTGTCGCCATGCTTATCTTCAAGCTTGTTTCTATCAATGCAGCTTTCTTAGTTGTTTTTTTTTTTTTTACTTTTAAGATTTATAATGCTTTTTATTAATGTACTTAGCAAAATTAAAGTTTTATCAGTACAGAGAATAAATTTTTTTAGAGCAGAATAACATAGTTCTTACAAAACTAATCTGTTAAAACCGGCTCACACAGACTTTTTTTTTTTTTTTTTTCTTGCGGAACTTGGGATTGAACTCAGACCCTTGTGCTTGCCAGAGAAGTGCTTATTCCACTGAGCCATCTCCCCGGCCCCTTCACACAGTACTTTTATAAAATACAAAATTAATATTTATCCACAGCATTGTACACAAGATGGTGACAAGGAACAGCTGGTTTAGAAAAGTATGCTATATTCCTCTGTTGAATTTATGTCAATTGCCTTTATATATGTTGAGCCTAAATTAAACTGTATTGGTGACTAATTTAAAATTAAGGTAATTCATATAAAATATTTTGCATTTCAAATATAAAAATTGTGTTTCACATTTGTATTTTGTGTATCTAACTATGGTATCTGCTTTCCAAATTATAGTCTTCTACAAATCCTGAGACTCCAAACTCAACCATCTCCAGAGAGGCCAGTACTCAGTCCTCAACTACCACCAGCCAAGGCTATGTTTTACCAGAAGGCAGAATCATGCCAAACACCATTTTTGTTGGTGGAATTGATATTAGGGTATTGTATTCATATTTTATTTACATTTTAAAATATGTTTTGAATAATGGGATTTGGGCCCTGTTGTTAACCTGTGTTTTTTTGTACTTTATGCAAATTTGGAATTAGTTTTGTGTTTAACTCATAGAAACTAAAAGATCTGACAAAGAGTTATGGGTGTCAAGATACTTCCTCATTACCAAACCTCCTTTTATAGATTTGAAATTTATGAATGTTTAGTTTTTTAAGTCTAATTCTTTTCCATAGATGGATGAAAGTGAAATAAGAAGCTTCTTTGCTAGATATGGTGCAGTGAAAGAAGTGAAGATAATCACGGATCGAAATGGTGTATCCAAAGGGTGGGTAAAATACGTGTTCACTATAAATGGTCAGAAGTATCTGACCTCTAGCATCTGTAGAACGTCAAAAAAACAATTTAAAACTGGTATTCTGATATTTGAAAAAAGGAAATTTATTGCTTAGTTTTTTTTCACGTAAAGGATAAAAGTTTGTCATCACCCCTTAAAATCATTTTCCTAATGTTTGTATTTCCTGTCTTCATTTCACATAAGTAGATTGTTTCCATCAAACAAAAATCTCAAACTGAAAAATGCAAAAATAATTCTTTGATGAAAATAAATTCATAGATAAGAATTTTTTGTTAATGGATGATAGTCCCATAATACCTTAATTTTAGGACATTCTGACTCAGGTCTGGTTAAAGTGAAAAGCTGTGATATATGTAGAGGCTCTATTATGTATATCTTATAAATATATCTATTGGCACTGTATTAATCTCTTATTATTCCATATAAAACTAAAAAGTTCTGAACTATGTACTGTGGTGATGATTTTATGTTTTGTTTATCTGCTTGTCTAGCTATGGATTTGTTTCATTTTATAATGACGTGGATGTGCAGAAAATAGTAGAAGTAAGTAATAGCTTCTCTTAGCTTATCAATGCAGTGTTTAGTGTTGAATATATTTAGTCTTGAGTAACATAGACATTTGTTCCTACTTGAAAACAACATAATATTATATAACGTGTCCAAACCTACTTATTTTTGAGCATCTAGTTTCCTGACCTAATCAAAAAAGACAGAGTAAAAGACTTTTTTAAAGAGTTTATGGGAAAAAGTAAAATGAAATAATAGGGAAATAACAGTAGTTACTGTATTGCTTCTTGTTATCTTTAAAGTAGGTACTTAGAGTATAAGATATGGGCATAAAAAATTTTCCAGTACTAGCACAAACTTTCCTTTTCAGTAAACTAGGAGACAGTAGTAGTGTTACTAATTTATTTTTGTTTCTTTTCCCTCCCTCCCTCCCTCCCTCCCTTCTCCAATCCTAGTTCCTTTTTCCCTTTGGTCATTTTCTCCCCATTGCATAATATGTCTTGTACATTGTAGATATTCTTTCAGTTTCTCATACCAGGAAGACAATACAATGTTTACATATGTGAGTGTAATTTATTTCATTTATGAGTATGCTTCTTGGTATCTATTGACACTTAGAATAGTGAGGATAAAGTGGCTTCATGAGACAAATTTTCATTTGTTGTATATTCATCACTGGTTTTCTCTGATAATAGGAACATTAGACAACTTGAGGTATAAATTTATTCAAGTTTTGGAAGTAAAGACTGAAAATTACAGTGTTACTACTCTTTTTTCAGTCACAGATAAATTTCCATGGTAAAAAGCTGAAACTGGGCCCTGCAATCAGGAAACAAAATTTATGTGAGTAAGAAAACAAATTGTTCTGTTGAAATATAAAGCTTTTCAAAGAATTTAAAATAGGATTCATTTTTCTTTTTTATTTTTAAATAGGTGCTTATCATGTGCAGCCACGTCCTTTGATTTTCAATCCTCCTCCTCCACCACAGTTTCAGAGTGTTTGGAGTAATCCAAATGTGGAAACTTACATGCCGCCTCCAACCATGATGAGTCCTGTAACTCAGTATGTTCAGGTAAGAATTCCAGCAATCCTCTTCTTCCATTCATTATAGTTTTCTTACTATGATAAACTTATATAATTTTCAACCCTCTGGAACTCAAAATTTCTGTAATAGGTGATAATATAGTCTGTTTTGGTGAAGTACTTTGAATAATAAGAAATCTGTCATTTTAGTTACAAACTTCTCATTCTTAGTGTTTCTCCTTCAACTGTGGTTCAGGCTGCTTTTGTATAGTTTATAAGCTTTTATCTTAACCTCACAAAATATATACAGATAAACTTTTGTCTGTAACCACACAAAATAAATATGATCTTTTTTTCTCATGTGATGTTTCCTAAAATCTTTAAAGGTGGTTTTTTCTTTTTGTCTCTGCCCAGTTTCTTCTCTGAGGTTCTCAGTTCTTCCAGTCAATCTTTGCAGTGATTTCCAGATGCTTCCCCTTACAGATTCCTGCCTTTTGGGTTTATTCTTATTCTGGAATGGGTAAATTTGTGATGTGTTTTCCTGCATCTATAAAATGAGTTTCTGATATGCAATTTATCTGCTTCTAGTTTAATATTCAAATTAGAGTTTGACATACTTGTGCCTAACATTTATTGTCTTCTTAGTTCATTTTACTTTCTTCAGTTTGAAAAACTTCTTTTTCAGGACTCTTAGTGCAAAATTCAGTGAAATAATTAAAGTAATTCAACACTATCTCTTAATTTGCTTAACTTTTCTACCCACCTGAAATGTGGATTATGTCTATACTTACTTTTCTTATTTTAAACGTACCCAGAAAGACTCTTCTAACATTTACTGTGAACTGTTACAGATTTTAGGTATTCATGTATGCTCCTACTTTTATGTTTCTAGGTTGATTAATACCAAAACATGGCAGGCTTTGTAATATTGTCCCCCCGCCCCTTTTTTTGTTGAGTTGTTTTGTTTTTAATGTATTTGGTACAAGGTCTTACTACACAGCTGAGACTTGAAGTGATCCTTCTGTTTTCAGCCTCCCTGCACTGGGATTATAGGCGTACGCCACTATGCCTGATCTCAGTGGCTGGCTTCGGCACCCAGGGGTGGGGCCAATGCAGCATGCGGTGCTGAGATGGAACCCAGGTCCTTGTGCTTGCCTAAGCAGGCACTTAGTCCACTGAGCTATCTCCCCAGCCCCCTTTCCCAGTTTTAGATTAAATTGTTCTGAGTTTTTAGAAATGAAATGCAGTAAAAACCTTAAGGTTGCAGGAATACTGCAAGTTTTCCATTAGCATTGTCAAATTAATATAAAACTGTTTAAAAGTGTTTTGATAAACAAAAGGTGTATTTATTTAAGTTATATGAAAATCTATCCTGTTTGAGCCTGATTGCCAGTGTAAGAATGAACTCCGACTATGGATGAATAGTAATAAGAAGGTAAATGGAGCCTTGCAAAACCATTCACTGTACTCAAAATCATTCACTGTCATTTATCCCTTCCCTGTCCCTTGCTTAAAAGGCAGAGAAGAAAAAAAAAAAAAAAAAAAGGCAGAGAATATTACTTTCTTTGTGAAGCCAGCCTTTTAGAATCCTATGGTTATATATAGTAAAATAATAGTTTTGAATACCTATATTTTTGTTATATTAGAAATAATACTCTTTTTAATATTTAAGATATATCTTCTACAACTTTTGTTATAAATTCTTTAATGTATTAAAATTATTTGATAAATTCCTTAGACACTTACGGAGTGGAAGTTATAAATTTTCTTTAAAAAATTTTTTATAAATATAGTTAACTTTTGTTTTCAGACTTATCCTTCTTATCCAAATTCACCAGTTCAGGTCATCACTGGTTATCAACTGCCTGTTTATAATTATCAGGTAATTAAAGGGGAATAAAATGGCTTATTGGGGAATAATATGGCTTTAAACTTATTTATATAAATTTCCCAAATAGCATGTTGTTTACGCTAGTAAAGTGTTGCTAAAATTAAAGGACAGCAAGAGAATGTCTAGAAGATTT